CAGCGGTGCAGCGAGATCGACGTTTTCGTCCTATGCTAGGTTTGTTATGCCCAGAGAATCTGTCCAGAAAGTGGATGGAGACGTCGGCAGATCGTTATAGGCTTGTTGACCGAGAATAATTGTACACAATGCGCCCAAATCGGAACCAGATTCGGCACGACACGCTTCTCTGGCCACCTGGGGTTGCCACTGTAAGCCTGATGGCAATTGGACTCAAAACCTTGCGGGACGACTCCGCGTCTCGAGTCATGGAGCTCACTATCTTTCAAATCGTTAAGCTCTCGCGTCGCTCCTCAGTCCCAGCTCGCGACGCTCATGCGGTCGTGTTGCACCCGCTGCCTGCGCACCTCTGCTCGCTGTGCTACAGGCGCTTGATCTGACCTTGAATCCAGGTAGGCAGACGCCCGGTAGGCGCGCGAGGAAATGAGCGAGCGACAAGAATTGAACACGCCTTATGGACCCATATTTGTGCATTGACCTGCATACCTGTGCATATCTGACCACTTGTGCCTTTTGGGCGGACTGAAACGGGCGGAAAAAGATGAGAATCGTGAGCAACAGGGAAGGTTCTCACTGGGGTTCAGGGCCGGTCGGAGGAACACTTGTTTTATCGGCATTCGGTCTTCGCGCGCACTGTAAAGACCGCGCAGGGTTGTTTCAACCCGGTAATACCACCGAAAAAGTTATGATTTGAACAAAGTAAACCTGTTGATTTCCACGCAACCGAATGAATTCTACCCCGCAACCGGGTTGCATCAGGGGTGTGGACTTAAGGCGAAAATGAAGAGATCCAGCAGGTTTCAAACCAATGAATCATGGCTGAATATGAGACCTAAGTCATTGGCCACTGGTGTGATCATTTCCTCGCATTCGTGGATATCGGGCACTTTCTCGATTAACTTATATTTATTATACTTCGTAGATACGGTACAACAGATGGAGTTACTATACAGGGGCAGCGACCGCCAGCTACAGGAGGGTGAAGGTTGTGCTATGGAACAAGGTGTGAATGGAGGCGCGTACACGAAGGACAAGGCTGTTGTTCCACCTACCAACAAAGTAGTGTCTCAGTGTCCCCGAACCGGCAGGCACATCAACTCTGGTAGGCATAGCGAGGAAGGCTCAAAACTGGCCACAGGGCCAAAAGCTCACCATACCCTCTGACTGACCCCACAGTGAAGTTACGCTACTCACCTTCGAGAACTCAATGATGCCGCACACGCGAGCCCAGCAACCTAACTCTCAATCAGGGCTCATACTGTAAGCGATAGAAAGAGAAGCTAAGACGATGCACTTGTAACCCAGTAGCAAAGGTCGACGGAGACGTCTGGCAGGCGGAGGTGGCGGATGAGCAGAAAAAAGTCAAGGCACAAGCGCTGTTGCGGGGCTACAAAGTCGGCCGCTAACGTCATGTTTGGCGCCGATGTTCATGCCTACATGGAGGACTTACATAGTTTTTCGTGATTCCTTACTGCGTGAGCACCCTTTGCAATTAATGCAGTTTTGCGAATGGTGAATATGACACATTATTTCAGTATTACCTGGCATTACCTCGCGAAACTGATGAAAACATGAATTCACCCGCGCGCGTGGTGATTTCAGGTCCCCGCGAACTTCACAGTTCGAACGAGCAGGGAGCTGGGGCCTGAGGGTTAGTGATATCGTGAGAACGAGTGTGCGCGCGAGGACGAAGACTGTACTGCGTTGGGGGCGCCGCTTGTGGCGCGGCCTTCGGGATCCGTATGGCTGAAGAGTCGGCGAGTCATTGTCTAGTCTGCTTGGGGTCCGTTTGTTAGTACTAGTACCTCGATAGTTGCTTTCGGTCAACTCCTCTTGTCTCGCGGTGTATCATAATGGATCCCTGCAATTTCCTGCAACGTGGGTAAGTGGGGTGCGCACTTGTACGCACTCAGTGGGCCTGCATACACGCATTGAGTTCTGTTGGCTTCGTACACGTGAAGCGATGTAGCTGCAGTCTAGAATTTCTCGTCACGAATGCGAGCTGCCGCGAAAAGTTTCAAGAGATGGCTTACGGTTGCACCTCGATTGAGACCCCGGTCAACCAGACATACGGCGAGTCTGACAGGATACGGCACCAAGGCGACTGCGATGAACGGAGAGGACCTCATGTATTAGATGTGCGGGAATGGACAAATCAATGTCATACATGGCACCTCTTCAAGCCACAAACAAAAATCATGGCTGCGAGATCCTGTAACAGAGACAACAAGCTGGTCAAATCGGCCTGGAGTCCAATGTCAACTGCTGATAAGGAAGCAAGCCGGCGTGGTACACTGCAATGCGACACACCCACTCGGGCTTGCTGTGCCACCGTGGTCCGGCTTCTAGCAAGCGTCGCTCCGTTGTCCCACATGCTTGTGATTGCAATGATGCCAGACTCCTGGTAAGCGTCGATGGGGGGGGGGGGAAGACACAAGGGATGACTCGCTGTTTCTGGCCCCGCCCTCTGTAACTCGCCGAAGGCAACTGATATGAGTATGTATCGGACAAGCAATTGGCGTGGTCCCGGTAATGAAGCCGCAAAGGGTTGATTCTCTTCGCGATGAGTGTACAACCGGCTGAGCTCCGGTCTTATGATACTAGATGCTGCAAGGGAGGGCTTCGCTGTGACTTCAAAGAAAGGACATCTTGCTCGGAAATGTCAATACACAGAGACATACGGTTTGGGCCAGACGAAGGAAAGAGTCAGCGGGCGTCTGTGGCAGAGCTAGCGCCGATGATGACGGCAACGGGCGGATCGTGGACCGTCCGCGCGCTTTTCTCTGTCTTCCTCCCGCATCCGCCGCTGCTTGTTCTGACCCCGTGCTATCCTCTTCAGCTTGACACCCACACCTGTCTGGCTCAAGCGTAGCTTAGTCTGACCTGGCATGGCATGCCCTCCGATTTCCGACTATTCGGCTCTGTCTTCTCTATCAAACTGACCTCGCCGCCCACTGGCTCCACCTTTTGGCAGCATCGTCCACGCACAATGTCGACACCTACCCTATCAAAAGATCGTGCACGGAGCTCATACTCCTCGCGTTCTCTCTCGTCTCGTGTTTAGTCCTCTGCTGCCCTCCTCCCAGCACCGACGCTGCCGACCTGTCACCCCTCGGGATCATGCAGCATCTTACTGGACTACTCTTGCTCGCGCTACCGCTCGCATCTGCAGGCGCTGTACATCTCTCAGTTTCTGGTGTACGCGTTGCCGAAACGCTCTCTTAGGCTGCACGGCAAGACAACGACAGCTTCTCTCGCTGTCTCTCCCATCTGCGGACCTCTGTCTGGCAGCGTCTCGGATGTCAATGCAGGGACCCATCTTCATGGTTTCAAGATTATAGTCACGTTTGGGGTGCGTTTCATCACAATTCTTGATGCATGCAGTTGACATTCAACTATATCCCAGGACTCCTTCACCAACGGTGGGCGACAAGACGGAGGTCCGCTTCCTCCACCAGTGATCACGCCTCCGGACGCAGAGGCAGGGGGAAGGTCTACGAATGGGAGGGTGTGGGTGGAGGACCTCGCAGAGCCGTTCAACACGACGGTGATGGAATACGCGGTAAGCATGCCCCGCATCCATCATTGATTGCCTCGTGAGGGCCGTTTTGTTGAGACGAGTCTCCTACTTCATAGCAATTGGGTGCAGTCACCGATCTCAGTCTATGGCCGAGCACAATAAAGAAAGTAGACTTCCCCGGCCAAAGTAAGTGGTGTGCATACTCATTGAGCCTGTATCTGATCGCGTACCTGTGACGCGCTATAGTGCAAACGTTCCTCAACCAATCCAACGATCTGGATCTGGAGACGACTCTGTACATCGTCTTCTTTGGCATAAAGTGAGTGCCAGTCATCCACACGTCTTCTACGTGCCCAGCTGATACTACATGCGTGCATATAGCGACGATGAAGACTCCAAAAGTACATATCTCACGCGTATATCCTCCACTGTGTCCTGATGTCCCGCGTAGCCCACGGCGAAGCGAACCTCCAAGCCGCCGCACAAGTCATCCTGTCCCAAACCCTGATCCTCGCCTCCCCGTCCACCTGCGCCTCGTTACAAACGTCTACAGCCGCGGCACGCATACTTCCGCAGGCGGTGCGATGGTCCAGACGATCTTCTCAGGACTCTCTGACCGTAATTGTGGGATCAACTCCATGGACAACGGGGAAAGCTTGAACGGCAATCCGCCGGGACAGGAGCATTAGAGGGTTCTGCGCATATCTTGGCTGGGATGCTCGATGGACCGCCTGGGTACGAGGTGTTTGGGTACGTGAGCACGGACGCGTGCACCGTGGGATGCTCGGACATGTTTTGCTCGACGGATGGGATGTGCGACGATGCGGATCACCACTTTCACTACCTACCTGGGTTCGCACGCTTCATTCCACGAGGTAGGAAGGTCCTTGGCTGACGAATTTTGTGCATATAGCCACCCTAATAAGGAGGGAAACCTGCTCATGGCGAAGTATGTGAGGGAAGTGCTAGATAGCTGTGTCGAGCAGTGATGGTGCGACTAGTAGAAGTCGAGGAGATGAACGATGGTGTTGCAGGTGCGACAACAGTTGCTCGTCGTAAACACGTGTATCTCACGCACTTGCGCATATAGTGACGTATTCGGATATTGCTAGCGCTGTAATAGCGCCGGGCAGACATCGTGTGGCATTGGCCCTCTCATCTGCACTCGAGCTCCAAATGTTTCCCGATGCTCGCCCATGGGCGAGTGTTGGCCTTCGAGCTTCGTGCTCGATTAGAAGTGAGGGCTTCCAGCTCAGATTATGCTCTGTCGTTGAAAAAGAGTTGCTTTTCGAAGCGGTAACCTGATCACCCCCGCTTTGTGGGGGAGTTGTGATGGGTGATGTGCAGCTCTCTGCGATCGTCTCATCCTCCCATGTTTCTGTGTAGAATGCAGACGATTCATCCCAGCGATTCACACAGCGCGGACAACGCAAGGCGGCGGATCGAGCTCGCGTGGTCAGCCATCGACATCAGCTTGAGGCGTCTGGAACCTGCTCTCGCAGAGCTCGACCTCGTGTTGTTTCATGTTGACTCAGCCTGAGATCTCTCAACTTCGCCGGCCAATATGCACGTTTCTTCTTCGTTGCTGTCGTCATCGGCTGCAGTCGCTGCGCGTCTGTGCATCAGTGTGTCGATCGCGTCTCAGTCTACGTTCCGCATTAGGGGTAGACATCGTTGTGACGTTCACAAGGATCATGCAGGAGCGCTCATCCATGGTTTTGGAGGTTACGGGACATGGTATCTCTTCAATGAGTACTGAGCAGTGACTCCGGCCCAACGTATGCATCCCGGAAGGCTGTTTCGCTGTGTCGTCTCGAGAAGCCTGGCTGAGAGTGCACTTGATCACGTTGTTTGTGTGCACCGAGGCCCTGATCGGTGTGGCCTGAGAATGTGCCCCAGACGAGCTGTCTGTCATTCACGTTTCATATACCGCAGAGCCGCCTTTTCTTTCGCGATTCTTTCAGGACTGGCTACAGACTAGAGACGATAATTGTTGAAATACGAGGTGCGGCGTTCATGTGCTGCGAAGAGGGCATATATACAAGGTTGGCATCGGTTTGTATCGAGAACCCACCCTGATCCTCAGTTGAGCAGCTCGATTGGGATTACGACGTCCTCGATATCTACCCTATAGCTTTGGTATGTTATTCAAGCCTTTCCCCCTTCTGCACTCTGTTCTGGATCCACCCCTTCAACCCCTGATAGCGTGTATGCGACGTCTTCAGCGGCAGATACAACAAAGGCTCAAGGGCTGCTCCTTGCCTACGCCATGGCAGCAGCGTTGTGAGGCGGGTGGTCTCACCCTCGTGATGGTTGAAAATTAATCACAGGACTACGTGTATGTTCTCTGTACATTTACGACACCAATACGTGAGGTTCTGGCACAACGATAGATGTTCAGTGGTTCCCAGTTCCCTCCGCTCCCGCCCTCTTTGTGCCCGTCCTTAACGATTGCACCTTACTACGACTCGGATGGCGTCATCTCCATCTGCTTCAACAAATATGCTCGCCGCTTCGACAACTTCACTATCTCCTTCGAGAAAGTATACCTTGCAGCAAGGTCCTTCCTGGTTCGAGCATCTCTTCCTCATACAGCGCTCCAAGTCAATGTCGATTTCATCGACTAAGTATGGTCTATGGGCTGCTGCTAATGTTGGCATCCAAATAGGGGTAAATATACTGCCTGTTCGCCAGCGATGGCGTGCTCCAGCACAATGCAAGCCTCGCACGGTATCGGCCTTCGCGGACCCTTTCATGGGTTCATGTCTCGGACAGATGGGCTTTCTGTGATTGATATCGACTGGGCTTGTCATCACCTGCGCCCTTTCCTCTGTTTCTTCGTAGTATGGCATAGATACTGAGGCTGCGGGTCTCTGAACCCATCCTGGATGCAATGGAGAGCCGAGGATGTCCGGGCATCGGTAGAGCCGTGGCCAAGCAGTAGGCTAAGCGGATGCAATTGACTACATTGTTATCCAAGGTTTCTGACCAATCATCCTGACAGGTTCCAAGATGCTCCAGACTTCAGCCGTCAATATCTCTATGGCGAATGGAGATTCCAATCCCCATCCCTCACGCAAACTTGAGATCTCATCATTGTCGACTTATTCGCAACATCAGCCCGAAGCTGATAAAGCCTGTCAGCTGTAGTAGGGGGTGATTCTATTACTACTCGTCATAAAGGTTGCCATAACTGAGGACTCTCATCTATATCGGCCTACTGCCAATGACAGATATCTAGGCTTTGAAGCGGGTGGGGGTGTGAGGCTTGCTAGGACCTAGTCAAGAGTCCATGGTAATGGAGTAGATACTAGCTTGACCTCTCGACCCATGCTTCTGACGCCGGACTCCTCACACAAGATTTAGACATCTTCATGATAGGGTGTTTCAACAATAGGATGTTTTTCGAAGTACTTGGCTTGACGGTCTGCCTTCGTGATGCTCTGAATACTCCCCCTCCAGGGACAAAGTTGAGGCTCTTGAACGAATCAGCAATAATCTCGAGGATGAGAGATTTTGTTGTGCAGAAAAACATGTGTGAAGCGACGTTTGACATTCATTATGGACCTCAGGTTATACTTGGCACATCAGAAGTATGCCGCAGCTACGTCAATCTAGGCTCCGTCCCCGACAGATTTCTTGATTCCAGGCTGTGTATGAAAGACAATAGAAAATCCATGTCACGTTAGCGCTCCAGCTATCGTCCTGGAACACTCTATGCTCATGCTCCTCTGCCTCACCAATACCCGTATCCCCCTGAAAGACGTCAGGAAGCTCCTCTATGGCCAAGTCTCATGCCGGGACACCTTGGTCATCTTCTCAATTGACACACGGAAACAATGTGCAGTCAATCTACTCCCCACTTCTCTCTGCAACTAGTCTGCATGTTCTAGGACAACAAAATCTAGCAGCCGCCCATGGGTCAACTCCTTATGAGGTTTCAGTCGCCAGCGGTGACACCTTGGCAGGATGTGCTCTGTGTCCTGAGGTTGCAGCGGAAAACGTTGTCACCTCTCTATCCCACCTATCCCGTCTGTCGATAACCCGTCTGTCTTTCTCCCGTCCGTCATTATCCCGCCCATCGATATCCCGTCCACTGCTCCCTTCATCCCCAGCATCCTCTACCCCCTCCTCCTTTTCCCAGGCAGGCACAGGTTCGATTACTGATCATGGTATGCTCACGATGTCTATTGTGCTCGTGAGATTGACAGCGGTGACCTGTATACCACAGTCACATCTTCACCACCGATCACAACCACTAACACACACTCTGCGACTACCGTCGATGGTGGCAGTGATACTAGCTTTGACGGCGGTGCAACGCAAACATCTTCTTCCACTGCACCCACGACCAACATGATGCCCCCGAATGGATCTCCATCACAGGTGTGTCGCAGCTTGATTTGGCGAGTATGACTACTCAAGCCTTCCTGTTCATTGATTAGATGTCTGCTCTATCCAAGTCCTCTCCGAACTCAGCCTCTGCTGTAGGTCTTCTGACCTCTTCAAGCACTCAGTTCACTCAATTCCCACCACCCAGAACTCCTCGAGCACCCATGCCGATCCTGGAAATGCGACTCCTGCTTTGACCTCGTCGATGGCCCCAAGTAGCTCGTCCATTAGTACTGGAGACCTTGTGGGAATTGCTATAGGGGCATGTGTTTTCGCTATTGGCCTGGCCTTGATCATACTCGCGTACATCAAAAAACGCAAACGGTATCCTCTACGTTTGCGTACAGCGAGGCTCCTAGGTCCGCATAAATATTAGTTCACCCGTTGAGGATAAGTACAAGTACTAACATTGCTGTGTCGATCTACACATAGGCATCAAATGGTGGAAAGCTGTTCGGAAGCTTGGATATCGAGAAAGCACATCACCCTCAAGGCCTCGTAGCACTGCTACTTCGAGTCATGACAATGTGTTCGGACTCGTTCCGGAATCACGAATCAACAGTGAGTAGCGTCAGATTATGGTGCCGTGAATAATCATTTTATGGAAGTTGTCCCGGCCGGTTCTCTAGTATCCCAACTCTGTATCGCCGATACAGCTCCATCCCACTCTCATGCTCTTGCTCATGGAGAACACATCGCATCTAATACGCCAGAAGGACGTCTCAGTGATATCTGGAATAGCCCCACACAAGAAAGGACGGAGACTACCACCACACGGGAAAGGGGTGTAACAGCGACTGACATGTCTGAGCATTGGCCCGAGGTAGCGAGAGCGAGGGTACAATGGCACGCAACAGACGGTGGCGTGAGGCTTGCTGGAGGGAGATTGGATGAGGAAGCGGTGGACGATGTTGATCAAGAGAGCATGTCCGAAGGATCTATCCTTCCACCGCCCTATTCGTCACACTTTGGTTAGTGTCAACGCGGACTTAGGACAGTGCTTGTGGAAGGCATCGGGGGAGGTCGCGGGGTTACTGCGACTTCGAATGGCAGATCGCTTCTGTGTCTATCTTGCACTGTAATTAACGGGACCCGCGTCTTGAGTGTGGGTGCCAGTTCAAGTCCGCAGGTGCGTTCAACGGGGAATTTGGAGTGAAGAGAGGCGGCGGCGGCGGCGTCAGCACCAACGAATCGACGTGGAAGCTCTCAAACACTTCGTCCACGCCTGCGCGATCGCGGAATCCGCGTCGCGCCGGCCCGGAGGAAAGCGGGAAGGACATAGAGAGTGCTCTGAGACGAGCTTTTCAGTTGAGTTCACGCTCCGGACAGAGGGTAACGATATAGCAAAGGGTTGGTTCTCTTCGCGATGAGCGTACAACTTGTGCTTCAGGCTGCAAGGAGTGCTTTGCTGCAACTTCAGAAAGAGGTCATGAGTCTTTCTCGGAAATATCGATAGAATCGGACATACGTATAAGTATATATGGACGGAGTCAGCGGGCGTCTATAGCCGAACTACTGTAGCGCTGATGACGGCAACGGGCAGATCGTGGACTGTCCCATGTCCGCTCTTCTCTGTCTTCCTCCCACATCTGCCGCTGCTCGCTCTGACCTCGTGCTATCCTCTCCAGCTTCACATCCACATGGTCATCCTTGTCTGGCTCAAGTGTAGCCCACTCTGACCTCGCACGGCATACCCTCCGATTTCCGACCACCCGGCTTCCGTCTTTTCCATCGAACTGACCTCGCCGCCCACTGGCTCCACCTTTTGGCAGCATCGTCCATGCACAATGTCGACACCTACCCTACTAATAAGATGCACGGGGCCTATACTCCTCGCGTTCTCTTCCGTCTCGTGTTCAGTCCTCTGCTGCCCTCCCTCCTCCCGCCACCGACGCCGCCATCCTCTCGCCCCTCAGGATGAAGCATCTTGCTGGACTACTCATACTCGCGCTACCGCTTGCTCCTGCAGGCGCTGTGCATCTGCCAGTCTCTGGGGTACGTGTTGCCGAATCGCTCTCACAGGTCGCACGGCAAGACAACGACGGCATCACTCTCGCTGTCTCCCCCGTCTGCGGATCTCTGTCTGGCAACGTCTCGGATGCCAATGCAGGGATCCATCTTCCTAGCTTCAAGACTATAGTCGCGTTTGGGGTGCGTTTTTTGCGGTTTCTCCTGTGAAGCTGACATCCAACTACATCTCCGACTGAACAAGGACTCCTACACGGACGGTGGGCGACAAGACGGCGGTCCGCTTCCTCCACCAGTGATCACGCCTCCGGACGCAGAGGCAGGGGGAAGGTCTACGAATGGGAGAGTGTGGGTAGAAGACCTCGCGGCGCCGTTCAACGCGACGTTGATGGACTACGCGGTAAGCACGTCGCGCATAGATCATTAAATCCAAATGCGACCTCAGGCCTCGGGGCCGTCTTGCTGAGACGAACCTATCCTTCCATAGCAATCGGGTGCAGTCACAGATCTCAGTCTCTGGCCGAGTGCAGTTAAGAAGGTGGACTTCCTCGGTCAAAGTACGTGGTGTGCATACTGATATTCTGAGCCTGTCTCTGATCGTATACCTGTGGCGCGCTATAGTGCAAACGTTCCTCAACCAGTCCAACGACCTGGATCCGGAGACGACTCTATACATCGTCTTCTTTGGCATCAAGTGAGTGCTTATCATCTATACGTCTTCTCCGCGCCTGGCTTACGCCGCATGCGCGCGTATAGTGACTATGAAGACTCCAAAAGTACGTATCTCATGTGTATACCCTCCACTATGTCCTGACATCCCACGTAGCCGACGGCGAAGCGAACCTCCAAGCCGCCGCGCAAGTAATTCTATCCCAAATTCGCATCCTCGCCTCCGCTCCCACCTCCGCTCGTTCCTTCCTCGTCACAGACGTCTATGGCCGCGGCACGCACACCTCCGCAGGCGACGCGATGGTCCAGACGATCTTCTCCGGGCTCTCCGACCTCAATCGCGGGATCAACTCCACCGGCAATGGCGAAGGCCTGAACGGGAAGCCGCCAGGGCCTGCGCTGAAGGTCGCGTTCGCGGAGTTTGCGCGGATCTGGGACGGGGTGCTCGACGGATCGCCTGGGTTCGAGGCGTTTGGGTACACGAGCACGGACGCATGCATCGTGGATTGCTCGGATACGTTTTGCTCGACGGACGGAATGTGCGACGATCCGGATCATTACTTCTACTATATTCCTGGGTGCGTAGGATTGGTGTTGCGGGTTTGGGACACCTTGAGCTGACGGGTTTTGAGCATATAGGCATCCGAATAAGGAGGGACACGTGCTCATGGCGGAGTATGTGCGGGAGGTGCTGGATCGTTGTGTCGAACAGTGACAGTGCGAGTGGTGTTTGGGGCAGCGAGGGGCCGAAGGCGGAGAATATCGTGAGGTGCGACAACAGCTGCTTGTTGGACGCACATGTATCTCATCGTCCGGCGCATATAGTAGCTGGTTAAGACTTTGCTGGTTCTGTCATAGCACTAGGAAGAAGACATCGTGCTGCATCGGCATTCGCGTCCGCGTTCGAGCCTCGAACTTTGTCTTGATGGTCGACCATAACGCAGAGCTAACTTCGGGGCGCCATTGTCATTGCGTCACAGGCGATCTCGAAATCACCCTTTGTGCCAATATCCTCGGAGTGTCCTTCTCGCAGTACGATCTACCTCGATGATGTGGCTGAGTGCATTGGATGGTACGCAGCTTTTCGAAGTCCCTCGCGATCGTCTCATCCTTACATGTCTTTGGCTATGGATCGGGCACAAGTGACTCATGCCAGCGATCTACACAGCACGGACGATACACGGCAGCCTTGGAGCCTCAAAACCTGCTCTTGCATAGCTCGACCTCGTGTCGTTTCAGATGGTCTCGTCCTGAGCTTCGTGGGCCGCCATGCACGTTTCATCGGTGAAATCATCAGACGCCGCCTTATTGCACCCTACGATGTCATCATCGGTTGCGGTCGCTGCGCGTTTGTGTATCGCTGTGTCGATTTGCGTCCGAGTCAGTCGACGTTCTGCATTCGGGGTAGACGGCATTGTGGCGTTCACGACAATCGTATACGAACGTTCATTCCTGAATGTGGAGATTGCCAAAGAGGAACATCTTGAAGCCTATGATATAGCCGTGAGTTGGGTCCAACGTACGCCGCCACTTGGAGGCTGTTCCATCGATCGGATTGTTTCTAGAACGTCCGGATGCAACGAGGATGTCTCGTGGCATACCATTGGCACTGTACTTGCGCTTCGACCGACGGCATCATGGCCATGGGCGAGAAGGTGACCCAGACACGCTGACTGTTCGCGTTTCATGGACCACAGAGCCGTCGTGTTGGTCTTTTGTGGTCGAATCCTGCGCTTGACGCGCACCCCGGCCAAAGAATCACAGCCTCCGTCTGGCGCATGACAGAGAAATCTTCGTCGTGTCTGTTCCGATCCGTGCATGACTGACTGCAGATCAGAGTCGAACCTTGTCCGATGAATACGAGGGGCAGGGTTCATGCACTGCGACAGAGGACATATAAACGAAGTTGCTTCGAGAATTCCATATCGGTACTCACTTGTTAACAGCTCGACTGGGAACGTCGGGATAACGGTGTCTTCGGTATCCACCTCAAAGTTTCACTGTGCCTTTTGGCCTCCCTTACCCGGAGGTGTTCAAGTTATTGAACGACGTACGCACTTACTGCATCTTCTACGACGTATCCATCAAGGGCTCCAAGGGCCGATCGAGCAACTCGCCTTCGCCATGTCAGTCTCATCATTGGATGGATGGTCTGATGGACACAGTTGGGGATTCCCTACCGCAGTACGTGTTTGGTCTTATACATCTACTCCTTTGACGACTGAAACCTTAGCGTGGTGATAGTTATTCAGCGGTTCCCACTTCCCTCCGTTCTCGCCTGCTTCTCTTACGTCGTTAGACCCATCAGTGTCTATGATTGCAACGGACACTCCAAGTTCCAAGCCGACCAACTTAGGCTCAACACGACTTACAACAGATCCCTCTTCTGCATCGACGACACTGGCCTCTACAGCATCTTCGACTTCCCCATCGGGTCCAGCCCAGACCTCTCGCCCTCACACAGCTGTTCCAACGGCTACCTCAGCTTCATCGACCAAGGACGGTCTCAGGGTGCCTCTCGTGATTGGCCTTGGGATCGGAGCTAGCGTTTTCACCATCTGTGTGATGGCGGCGGTGTACTTATTCGCAGTACGGCGCAAGCGTCGCTCTGCACTGGCCATCGCGGAGCCTTTCGTAGGTTCGTGTCTCGATTTTGCAGACTTTCCACTAGTAACGATTACTGCATCTTTTCATGATTCGTTGCCTTTGCACCCAACTCTTCACCAGCCCGGCATGACTCCTGGAGACTCGGGTCGAGCGCGCGCCCACCAAGCTCAGATTCCCTGGCCAGTGCCGTGATTCAGGGGAAGGTCGTGGATATCCGAGCTTCGATAGGGTCGCGCACGAGCAGTATGTAGACGCGCTTGTATCAGTGGTCCATTAAGGTCTCTGACGAATTACCCAACAGGTTCTATGATGCCCCAGGTTTCAGACGTCGACACGGCTATTGAGAGTGATGATGCTCGTCGTTCTCCTCCGCGCAAAGCGTATACCGCCCCTGTTCACCTGTTGGGACCCCGCCGACATCTGAGGAGCACGCCTAGGGACGTCTCCGTCCAGGAGTCTCATCCAAATCAGACTATCGAGGACAACAGAGCCGTGAGGTATGAAGCGGACGAAGGTGTGAGGCTTGCGGGAGGGCGACCCAGCGAGGAAATTCGCGATAACGGACTAGATACCGGCTTGGACTCAGGACGCACGCTTCCACCGCCTTACTCCTCGCATTTTGTCCAGAATCGAGCTATCTCCTAACGCACTAACCTATATTGTAGTTCTTTGCCTCCCCATGAGCTGAGAATAATACAGAGAATATACAAATTGACTCAATCTTACGGCTGGCAAGTATTGGCGTACAGTTTCGTGAGGTCTGAAAGGCGTTTCACTCGAGGGGCTCATTCACTGTATGCGGCTATGGTTACTGAGGTTGCATCCTCCTATACCACTACACGTGTCGCTGACCTACTCCTGTGATATATACGGTATGAAAACAAGGGAATTGATAGATAATGTACTAGGAGAACCAATCTTCTGTACAAATTCGGGATGGGCATTGAATCATCCTCAGTCAAGGCAACTCGTGTCGGCTACGTAGTCCATACGCGAGAGGAGATCTGTCAGTGATGCATCCTGAAGCAGTTATGTACCACCTGAAGACTTACAGCTAGGCCTGATTAAAACATACCACGAGCTACCGCCGCCCCATAAATCTCTGATATGCGCTTCCATCACCCCGTCTTGCAAGCACGATCAGCCTCAGTGCACATGACGGCGGCACTCACATGCAGTGTCGTCCGCTAGATGATACTGAGCATCGCTACACACCTGATGGGCCACGAATGACAAGGGGGTAAGAATGATTGGCCAAGCCACCAACGTTGATCACCTCAGTCATATTCTGAGCGACGCGGCCGAAGGCGACGCTGAAAGGGCTACTTTAGACAACATGTCTGGAAAGCGAGTAGATCAGAGTAGTGCCCACGTCTGAAAGCATTATAGATCCATTCCGTGGTGAGCAGCAGTGAACCCACATGGTAAGTGGAAGCGGGCAGTGAGTGCCTAACGCACGTACGAGTTTGTAGGGTGCTACAACGTGACGAGGCGAAGAGCGGGGCATATGAAGTTAGATGGCGTCGCGGATAATGTTCGCTGGAAGGCTCACGGGTACCGTGATCCCAAGCCAACTCAGTCTTCGCGCACTGGATCACTTCGTACAAATGGCTAGGGCCCCAACGGAATGTTAGAGCGTTTCCCTTGTGCTTGAAAACGTGGAGCCCTTTGTTGTTGTCGTCTGCGAGAATCATAGGTTCCTGTGGAACGACGGCAGACCCCACAAGGCCGGCTAAGAGTAGAAGCAGAACGACAGGTCTCATACTGATGTAGATGAAGGTAAAGACTGGTGACGCAGGGTGGGGAGAAGAGGGAGAAATCGAGGTTAAATGACTCCCGGTACTAGGAGATGGGATCCCAGGACCGTAGAGTCGCAGACCCTGCATTGCGCCGGTCTATGACCTCTGCTGAATGAGACGGTGGCAAGGCGCGATCGATAGCTGGGTAATCAGTATGCAAGTTACGGTATGTCCGACTCCGATGTCAAAGGATTGTCCACGTTTAGATGGCCGCCGTGACCTAGACGTCCATCATAGCGTTCTACGGACGGCAGATCGCAGTTGATACTCAGCACTCGAAGCATGTCGCTCCTCGCATTCAAAATGAGGCTCGGAAATTGTCTCATCAAAATACGAACCGATTCCTGTTGACGCGGTCAAGCGGTCATGGTATCACGGACTTCGTCATGGCCCCCAGCGCATCGGGAGTGCAAGTCAGCAGAAGTCCACCTGCACGCGTACACGTTGCGAGGGCACTAAGAAAATGTATAGTCAGCACAAACATTCATTAGTACAACGGAGATGGCAAGGCCATGAAGAATTGGAAAGGAATGGTGGGTTGAGTCAGTAAACCTAGTGGGGCCAGCGAAGGAGTCCACATGCTAATGTGTAGTAAACACTAGATCGGAAACTACGTGCTTGTTAGAGCATGGAACGCAGGTGAAGGGAGAAGACTCGGATGCCCCTGCGTCGATGGCTGGCAACACGATCTTGGGCGGTGTATATCCTACATTGAGGATTAAGACGTAGTTGATGGCAAATTTTAGCAACTCTTGACCGATTCACCGTAGCATAGCCCTTGAAAGGAGGCTCAAGCGGGAGACCCTCGAGATGGCATACTCCGTGTAGTGCGATAGACTGAGGAACGATAAGTGCTGTGATTGAGTGACAAGTAGACGCATGTTACCTGGGGGAAAGAAGACGTGTGTAAATCCTTATGCACTGACGACAGGGCGCAAGGGACTGAGACTTCTGGACACGGCCGAGAGGTTGACAGAGCGTGCACTCGATTTGTCACCAGTGTGAGCGGCAACGCCTTATAAGAGCTGATTCGGCGTAGACACGAGGATAGAAGGCTGTATTTTCGGATGGATCCATATGGGAAAACGTGGATTGAATGCGCGGCCCTACCGCCCTGTGCATCTGCCGATTGTAGGGACTCCAAGTGACGACAGCACGTCGCACTTCGGGCGTGGTGAACTGCGACCATGAGACCTGAGAGGAGACATCGCGAGCGAGGTGGACCTCGGGTGGTGTACTCGGGACCTTGTAGGACCTCTCGCAGTTCCAAGACTGCATTTATACGTGGAATGTGTCCTGATTCCTGAAAGAGGTGACATATGCAAAGCCTGCGATGCAACGTCGCGGAGAAGGCTGTCTAACTCATCGGGCCGGTCTGGGCCGACAGGTTCAGGGCAGGCCTACCCCCAGGATGGGCGCTTTCACTGCCTCCACGAACAAGATATGTCCCATCTCCGCCCGCTCTGACTTGTCCAACTCCCCATTTCGAATCTTTCGCACTATCGATTCCCATTGTATCCTCATCAGTCTTCAGTTCCACTGTACAATTTACCTCATAGGCCATCTACAGAACGCAGAATGCCTGAAGTGGTCATGACTTCGGCCTGATCGGTCACGCGCCAGTTCTCTTTCGTCCTCTCGGTCGCCTGCGGCTGCTTCCCATCAGACATCCACCACCTCTGCTCCACCCCCGCCATCACATAACTGGCCTTTTAGCATTGGATCTAGGTCTAGTAGTGGTCCTGAGAAACTCAGGAGATCTCCTCGTCTGCTGCTCAACACCTCCGAAGCTCGACTCGTGGCCCGTCTTGAAGGTCATGCTCAGCCATCTCGCTCTGCTGCTGCTATCCGTATCCGTGCATGCTCTTCGGACACCTCAGGAATGGCGAACCTCTCAACACATTCTGAGTCCATCTCGCCCTGACGACAATGACGGCATCCATCTCGCCGTATCACCCAACTGTGGGCCTCTGTCGGGCAATGCAGTCGATGTCAACGCAGGAGTAGACCTGAAGAGAATTAAGACTATCGTCGCATTCGGGGTATGTGCTTCATAACGCTGCCTCTTGATGGACCAACGCCGAACTCGGCGAGCCAGGACTCGTATACCGATGGAGGTCGCGACGACGGTGGACCCCTTTCTCCTGCGGTTGTCGTCCCTCCCGATGCGGAGGCAGGTGGGAGGTCTACGAACGGCAAGGTCTGGGTCGAGCATCTGGCGGACGACTATGGGGCTACGCTGATGGACTACGCGGTGAGTGCACGCGCCCGCGTCCGGCACCTCTGCATGCTCACTTGAAGGTTCAACTATGGTACTCCTAGCAATCCGGGGCGTGTACGGATCTCAGCCTGTGGCCGAGTGCGATCAAGAAAGTCGATTTCCTGGGACAAAGTGAGTATCGAGCCGTCCTGTTCCATACCTTGCGTGCTTAAGACGGGTCGTTGACTTGGTGGAAGTGGTGACATTCCTGAACCAGTCAAACACTCTCAATCCCGAGTCTACGTTATACGCTGTGTTCTTCGGTATAAAGTGCGTACAACATCTCCAGACGACCCTGCTAGTCAGACTCAGACTCTGAGACTGACACCCATGCAGCGACTTTGGAGATTCGAAGAGTATGTCTCATCCCCGTGTCTTCCACCTCTGTCCCACCTGACCATCCCTTTATCTGTAGCCGACGGTGAAGCGAACCTGCAAGCTGCCGCGCAAGTGATCCTCTCCCAACTCCGCATCCTCGCCTCCCCGCCTACAAACGCGCGCTCCTTCCTCCTCGCTGACGTCTATGGCCTCGGCACGCATACCCCGGCAGGGGACGCGATGGTGCAGACGATGTTCTCTGGGCTATATGACCTCTCGCGTGGAATCAATTCGACGGGGCACGGCGAAGGGATCGACGGGAAGCCTCCAGGACCGGCGTTGAAGGTGGCGTTCGCGGGATTCAGCCGGATCTGGGACGGGGTGTTGGGCGCGGACCCGGGATACGAGGCGTTTGGGTACGTGAGCACGGACGCGTGCATAGTCGATTGCTCGATCGTGTTCTGCTCGACGGACGGGATGTGCGATGACCCGGACCACTATTTCTATTATATCCCGAGGTGAGTAGAAGTGTGCCGTTGTGTGGTCATGGAGGGAATAATGGGCTGATGCGTGGTTGCGCATGTGCGATGTAGTCATCCTTCGAAGGAGGGCATGAGGATCATGGCGGACTACGTGGAGCAGGTGCTCGAGCGGTGCATCGAGCAATAGGAAATAGGTACGTGTGTCAAATACCGCGCATGTCGTCTCTCACATCATAAATGTCGCAGGTAGCAGACCATACATGTACAGTACAATCAACGAATGAGGCATTTCCTCGTCAATTCACGGACTGCAACCTACCCCTCACCGGGCTTACCGTGTGGTTGAACGCGATCCTCTGTCGAAGAGTCGCGAAACCATCCCGGGTGACCCCATGAGGCCGGGTTCGATCCTGTCCGGGTTCACTTGTGTTCATCCGTGCGACATCGACGAGTGGAGCTGGGAGCTATCCGAGGCTACCAAATCTACGTAGCGGTGGTGTGATTCCCTTGCGATGCGTTCTACCTCCTCGTGCACGCCAGTCCAAGTCTCGTAGTAGTTGGTGGCTGACCCACGGGTGGGATCTCGAGGAGCTCATCGTTCGATGTTCCTCTCCCAGGACTGGAATATCATCGAATGGAAAGCTTACCCTCCTTGACGTTGTCGAGATCCCGGGTATCACAAAGAATGCAATCCTGCACGAGGAAGCGCTGCATAGATTCAGTATGGCCGATCAGTTTTCGTGGGTGGCGGAGTATGGATGACGAGGGATGCGTTCTTTTCTACCGCTTTGGAAACCGGTAGAATCAGACTGGAGCTGGTAGACTCTCGGGAGCCGTGAGGCACTTGGAGTAGCGATGTAGTTTGGTGATGCCTTCTAAGAGTTCCAGGAAAACGCGCCCAAATGTCTCTCACGAATGTGTGAACGATAATACTCGTCTTGAGAGCAGGGAAGTACAGATTTGAAGATGCAGACGATCTGTAGGTTTTCAGGTGGTGCTCACACGGCAATCTCCGAAAACGAACAGATGCAATGTGTTTGCCAGAACTCGATGCTATCCACCTGTCTGCTCCAATCAGCGCCCACCCTGACCGTCTTTCGAAGCTACTTCGTCGGGTTCTGGGTCATATAGTCGAGCGCCCTGGCGTTCCACCTGAGTAAATAGAGTCTTCAGAGATTTCCACCTTGCACGTTGTTCTTGCCCCACACAATGCTATGAACAAGAGCTTCTGCAATGATGGATTCGGGGATAGAAGAGAGAACTCTGCTCCAAGATGTCCGGTCCCGCTTCCTCCATTCAGGAACCGAACAGTATCATCGTCGGTCGTGAGTGCGAATAGTAGACCTTCCGTATCGCATGTCATCTGTCGGTATCACTAATTCGAGAAGTCAACCGTGCTGCATCTAGCTTCGCTTTCTTAGGAGCATGCTATCATCACTGGCGGAAGGTCACTGCATAGCGGATGGATGAAGAAACTGCACTCACTGATACACGGGCTCTCTTTGGTTTCTGGGCTCTCTCGTGGTCCATAAATACACGCAGAAGCGAGCTATAAGTTCTCCTTAGTGACCTGGGTCACTGATGCCCTCGACCCGTTCCCCGAAAACGTACCTTCATCGAACCATGGCATTGTGGACCATCCCGACCCTACCTGCTGACAAACAGCAGCCTACTCACTCTAAACCGATCTCTCTTCCCCCTTCAGGTGATACTGCACAACGACTCCGGACCGTCCACCACCCGGTGTTATCGAATCGACAACAAGACCCCAACGAGCCTTGGCAGAGTTTCACGGCTTCTGTCGGAACGTTATGTGGCACTATCACGGAGATCAACACCGTCGCCGCGTGTTGGTATGAAAAAATCACATCAGTGGATGGACCGAATTCAATTACAGAGCGACTCTGTGAGACTAATGAGGACGCGTGCATATCTTCGGTTATGTTCACTGTGTCGGTCATCTACACCAGCCTCTACCCTCTCGACGCCGTGACTAGTCAAAATTCTCCAACCCAAACCAGCGTAATCACGCCAAGTAGTAGTAAGCACGTATGTCTGCACAGTCGGTAGCAATACTGATATCTGTCGGTACCTGTAAGGATCGCTGGATCGCTCCCTACTCGGAACCCTCTTTGCCTTACGTTAAGGACCCCTTATATACCTGAACGCCTATGCCGAGCTCCTCAGTTCCTCCTGACCTCGGTATAGGTATGTTCATTATTGTAGTCTCACATGTACAGTTCCTCCTGACCTGGGTATAGAGCTTGTTTTGATCTCTGTTACCTGGCGTCAGTGAGGAGGTTCGGAGAACCTCCTTTCAGTATCCTTGAATAGCACCGGAAGATCTCCCTCCTTCGACTTCTTCGACTGCAATTATATCCCTGCCCACGTCTAGACACTCTGCATCTACATCAGCCGTCGGGGCAGCTGGCTCGGTCAGTAGTCTGATCGTGGCTACATCCAATAGTATCTCGATGACAATGCAATCCCAGGTGCGTTGTAAGTTGATGCCGAGAGCCCATCAACTGAAGGTCTCCTGAATATTGCGTAGACATTTGACTCTTCCAATCCAACGCCGGCTTCGACTTCTGAGACTCCCGCGAGAAGTCCATCCCTCAGTACTAGTGCCACAGTGGGCATTGCAGTCGGGGCCTGTTTGATTGGGGTCAGCTTGACCTCAGCCCTAAGCTTCTGCATCTTACGACGGAACAGATGTCTTCCGTGGCTTAGGAAAGCAAGTACATGTACAGGTACGTATATTTTCTTGGTAGATATCTTGCAATCCCAGTTGCGGACTGCATTTCCCTTCTATACCGTCATTCGGCACATAGGTCTCAACGCTTTGCCCACTGTTCGGGATTACCGAAAGCCTCCGGATACCTCTTTAAAATCAGCTATTAACAACAACGGTCACAATGAAGAGTTGGTGGGAGGTGTTCTGAACATACATACGGATGGTGAGTAGCGTTGACTGTCATGGCACGCTCCATAACATCTAACGTCTCGTGCAAGATCCTTTCGGGACTCAACTATATATCAACGATGCGGATGTAGAGGCCCCTAATTCGCTTATTACACTTGTTCCCGGAGATACCTTGGTACAAGTACAGGGTACTTATGAGAAAATTCTCGGAGAGACGAGGGATGAGCATGTTCTCCCATCAAGTGAAATAACCGATGCAAGCATATGTGAAACGGATGGGGGGTTCAGGCTTGCCGGAGGGAGATTGGGCGAAGCAAATACGGAAGGTATCGAGCAAGAGAGCATGTCAGAGGCGTCTACCCTTCCCCCACCTTATTCTGACTATCTTGAATAGCCTGGATGTTTTCTGAGATCTTTTGTCAGATTTACGGCTTTCTGTACGTAATCCAAGCCAGCGTAAGATGTCCTAGTCATGAACTTGAGCAGTACAATGCCCAATAGCGTGTCTACTGACTCGGAGTAGATATTTAAGCTTCTCTGAATACCCCATCACTCATTCTGATTTCCATATGGCTATACACATAAGCAGTCCCGTATTGTCAACTGTTTACTGTTTATCGCATTTACACTACAGCCGTGTCGCTCCGCACGTCCACGTGAATAATCCCTTCACCGCTGTCTATCGATGACTGTCTGCTCAGTGACTCTCTACCAGCATCTACACCGTGACGTTCCTCAGCCGAATAGATCCTTGTTCCTAGATCCTCTCAGGACTTCTTTCCTGGCCGTGTTGTATCTCTTGCAGCGCGCTGCTGCTGTAGGAGGCTCTCCACGGATGGAGCATTTCTCTTTGAGTTGTTGTTGTTCAAAGTTCCATCCGGAACATAGGCCCCATTAGCTTGGACCAAAGGTGCCGACTGACTGTTCCCGACTGAAGGGTTGGTGTGAAAGTCTATCGAGCTGTAGATCGGGGGGGCTTCGTGAAACTCCGCAAATGCAGAGATGGGGTCGTCACGAGCTTCACGCATGGCTTGTGCTGACTGAGATTCCGTTGACCTCCCGGAGGCTTCGACACATGAGCCTGGAAGCATCAATATTGTTATGATGCCCGAAGCTCACCTAACGAATTACTGCGCGCCTTTCTACCATGCTTCACGCGATTCCAATAGAGGCCTACCCCGACCGCCAGCAGGAGCAGCCACCCTGTGGCAGCCACACCAACGATCTCCCCTGTCAAGGTTGATTTGGGCCTTGGCAAGTTCTCTGTTGGACCGGCGACAGCTGATGAGGAGTTTGGCCTGACGAAATATTAACATCTCAATCAATATCGGACGCCTTCCCTCACCAGCAGGAAATGACTAACAAACTAGATATTTGAGTACTTGGCACGAATACTGTAGCAGTACTCTCATAAGGGGGGGCAGTCGATGTGAGTGTGGCGGTAGTCATGGAAGGTGTCAATGGCGGCGACTGGGCAGATGAAGATATTGTATTGTTGTTGGAGATTTCGAGGTGATCAAAGTAAAATTCGATGCCTTTATTGGTGATTAGGAGCTTGTGCTGTCCTGGACCCAATGGAAGGGATGTGTAGAGGGGGCCTTGGAAAGGTAGCTCCCTGAAATGAAGGTCGTCTACTTCACAAAGGACACCACTGTCCGAGGATTCGTCGACACCGTAGGAAGCTTGCATGGTTGGACCGGTAACCTTTCCAAAGACTGTGATAGATGTACCTGAGGATAATTGTTATCTCATTACTAAGAGCGGGTCTTTATGTGTCTGCAATACGTACCCATGAATGAAAATGTTGCTATGTCTCCTGATAACTCAGAGTACTTGAAGATGCCTTCGGTGGTCCAACCGCCGACATAATTGATTTCAGAGCTGCTGCTATTGATTCGTAAGGACACATTGTATGAGGATTGGGTCGGGTCAGGCCAGCAAGACATTGTGGTGGAGAGATAAAGAGTTACGTCCTTTGAGGGTCTCCACCCTTGCGCATCTCGTTTACATAGAGATTTTCGCAGCGAGAAGAAAAGCGAAGGACATAGGTAACCATGTGTACAGGAATGAGATCAACATCCGAGTCTGGACTGATATGTCAGCTCACATCCTACAAGTGATCGAGTGATCAGCGATCCATATGTGTTGCCGCCTTGATGGGAAAACGTTCCTACCACCCTAGGGAATACAGCTAGATTTAAAACGACAATCTGGGTAACACTGGCCTAGCAACATCAGCGGTTACGCCTTATTCATCTAATGTCACCATCGAAACCAGACGTAGTTCAAGACAACAATATATCATTTCGGTCACCTCGGCCGCTTGTTTTGTGGCGGATCAGTCAGGGTCTCTAGCATTATCAACTTCCTGGCTGGCTGGTTACGTACCTATCTCTCGTAGAGAGCCTAGGGAGCTGACTTAGATGAATGGTAGTCAATGTCATCAGTGATGCTGTCTGGATAGTAAAGCATCCCTTGGCGAGTCCAATTCACCCGGGTTTCATTCAAGAGGCTTCATCGGTGAGGCCGGCAGATCAAGAGAGAAGAGAGTTCCGATGTGACAGGGCTTTATATATGGATTATCATAAGTGTCAGTCAATCACGAATGATGAGAAACCGGCATTGCTTAGTAGTTCGGTCTAGTCGCCCTCGATTGCACCGCCCGCGTGCTATGCCAAGTCGCCTCAATGTGTGATCAGTGACTTTGACATAACCTCGCCTGCACATCTGATCTCTCTGCAACACACGAGTAAAGACATACTACTGCGGCAATGTGATCTATAGAATGCTCACGGAGGTATCGGATGACACTCCTGAGAGTTGGATACGCATTGGTTGTAGCATCGTAAGACCTCCATGACGACGTCTGTCTGCAAAGCGACATATTAATTCATCTCTATCCGTAAGTAACCAACCCTTCTAGCATGTGGTCCACCTTCTCAACCCACGCTGGAAGCCTTCCTCCAAAAGTGTTGCGACAACTACATCACCCCTCACAGGTCTGGGATTTCATGCTTATTACAAGGCGAGTCAATGTCAGCAAGGAGTTCAATCCTCAAAAGACAAAGAGGACTTGATAACGTACATCTTGGCAAATCCTTCATGGAGTCCGAGCCGTGTACTCGTAGCGCTAGTGTCTTGAATACCCATACAGTGCGACTTACTGAGAAGACTTCCAAATCAACGGAAGTAGGTGGGCTTGGAACATGTACCTACAGTACCATTGTTGACGAATGTATAGGTGATTGCTTTGGTACCGGACCCCCCCCTCCCCCCCGACGACCCGCGAGGCTAAACCGTCCCGACCAAACAGCGGGTAGGAGTTCTGGAAGACTGTCTCAACCAATACATACGAGAACCTCCGACGTTATTGGCATGTTCATGTACCATCTGAGCTTGGGAACTGCCAGTGCGAGGTACATAGATAGTGGCGGGCCGATTTAGATTCACAAGTCTTTCTGCGGAGGCCGACGGCCTCGAACGTCCAGACCGGCGCTCTCGCCCGACACAGTTTTCTCTGTCCGGCCGCGTCACCGCCGCCTCGCTCCTTCGCTCGCCTAGTCCACTTGTAACATTCTTCGTAACAGCTTGGCCTCCACTGTGCCCGAGCCCAAGTACGCCAGGTCTCCTAGCCCAGTCCACGTAAAAAGCCGTGTCCCGTCAGCTAGCACAATAGGGTGACCGGGCTGACTTCAGGGCAGGCCGGACCAACGTAGGCGCCTCTTTCGTCGCCTGCACCAAGATCATCTTTCCCGACCGTGTATCAACGTTCGAATACCATGGCTCTCAGCTCCTAACAGTACTCGTCGATTATAGGAGAAGTCTATTGCGCCGATCTGGCCCAATCTGTGACGCGTTAGTGCTCTTCAGCCTTCGGGTCGCCCGCGGTGGCTTTTCTTTAGACATCCATCACCATCTGAGAGGATCCTGTCGCCTGCTGTGTCCTCGACGCCTTCTCCGAAGGCCATGCTCGGCCACCAGGCTGTATAGCTCCTATCCCTGTGCATACTCCTCTGACGCTCGTGGACGGGCGCACTTCTCAGCATATTCTGGGCTTGGTGACAACGATGGCATCTCTCCCATCTGCGGGCTTCTGTCGGGTAATACGGCAGACGTCAACGCGGATGTAGACTTAGGAAGAACCAGATGCTTTGGAGGTATGCTACAATACTCGTTGGACTCTTACCAACGGAAGTCGCGACGACGGCGGACCCCTTCCGCCTCCGGTTGATATTTCCATTTGCAGGACGAACGTGGGGTTACGATGAGGACTATGCGGTGAGCTTTTTTCCGTGCTCATGACGTCTTCCTAATGCTAAGTTAGAGTGTTCGTACACTCGGCTCCCAGCGGTGGGGCGCGTACACGGGCGTTGACTTGTCGCCCAATGCCATCAAAGGGTCAACCTCCTCGCCTAAAGTGAGTGATCAGCTGTCTCTACACCTCGTGTGTACAACGCGGATGGTTGACCTGGTGGGGGTGGCGATATTGCTGGAGGCGAACCTGACACGTCCCCTAACGCAGCGACTTCTGGGTTTTGAAGGGTACGTTTTACCTGTCTATACATACATCCTCTCTCCATGAATACCCCTTCCGCTCAAGACGATGGCGCAGCAAGTCAACAAGCCGCCGCTCTAGCTGTCCTCTCCCAACTCCGCGTCCCCATCTCTACACCCACAACTCCGCGTCTTCATTTCTACTTCCACACATGTGTGCTCTTTCCTCACCGACATCTACAACGTAAGAAACATACCCAAGCGGGCAACGCGATGGTCCGACGACCTCCATCGCGGCTTCGATTCGGCCGGAAACCGCGTGGGCATCTACGGGAAAGTGCCCAGGCTGGACTGAGGTTGAAGGGGGCGTTCGCAGAATCCAGGCGCATTTGGGATGTGGCATTGGGCTCGATCCCGGTCTACGAGGTTTCACGGTACAGGAGCACGGGCCCGTGCATCTGGGATTGCTTGATCTGATTATGCTCGACGAATGGGATGTGCGATGACTCACATAACCCATTTCAATACATCTCGAGGTGAGTGGGTGTGTAATGTTTTGTTGTCGTTGGAAAAACGATGCGCTGATGTGCGCGTGTGGTTTAGCCACCCATCGAAGGAGGATCATGGGGGACCAAATGCAAGGGGTGCTCGAGTGGCGTGTCCAACCGTAGGAATCAGGTATGTGTGCCCTGTGCCCTGGATGTCATCGCTTGCACCTACTGACTCCAGCAGGAGGCTGCTCATGCATGTACTATCGATGAATCGATCGCCACGGGACAATCTTATATAATTGCGTCGTCTCCTAATTTGTGAGAACGCAAATGTCTTCGCGCGAAGATCCTTCTCCGATTGCAAGTTCGCTGCGACGCTACTGACTCGCTTATCTACGCCGCTATACTGACATCCACGTTCTTATAGCTGGAGCTACATGCCATCTCGACCGCACTGCCCAAGGCTGCTACCCAGCTCTGCCGTGCTCGAGCGCTATGCGAGTGCACCTGTACAGCTCTTGGAGGGTAAGCGGTGCCATCCCCGAAATAACCGAACGATACAGGCCGTTGACCGCAGCGAAGCATCCGGCTAATCTGTTCTCGATGAGTCGCTTTCAGTACGTCTGTATTGCGTTCTGATCAGATTCATGACTCAAATTTATCTTCTGTCCTGAGGGTTTCTACTCACGGCGAGCTTGGCATGTCTGCGGTGAGCCTAATTGAGTAAATCCAGGGTCCTCGCAGGGGGGCGGCTTCCACGTAGTTAGTGCGCTGCGCCCGCTGAAATGACGCCGTGTGCCACTTGCGCCCGTTGCTGACGCGACGCGTTTCGCAGTCTCCCCATTACCGCTGAGTCGTCATCGTCTCGGCCCAGCGCGTGGCTCTCTCATTTTTCTTACAGCACATGGTGCGCGAAGCGGCGAGGGGCCAGAGATACTCTGGAGTGTAAGCCACAAGGTGTATTTCGTCAGCGGCGTGCGAGGAGTAATTGCAACTCGGCGCAGCGCGTGCTGTGATGCAAATTACATTCAGGTCGGTACGTGATGCCCGCCGTATGGTCGAAGCTATACAGGGCCACTGATCTTCCACTTCGCAGAAGAGGCGCCGTTGAAACGCCTTGTTGCTACCAACTATGCACCAACGTCCACGTAGCTCTCACCCTGCGACCCTCCTACCTTGTAGCGACTCACTTGACTCTGCCGCCTCTTTCTGAGTCGTTAGTTGTCTCCTCGTCAAATATCTGCGCAAGTCCAGCGGGAGCTGGTCGTATTCAACGAATATACGGTGTTCGAAGGCTTCCTTAGGTGAGCATTGTATGTACAAGTATCTCTGTGGTTTCTGGCTGATGCAGCATCATACAGTCCAAGCGATGTCTCCGAAGCTCGACTACGCTCCTTCCATGTCAGACTCCCTCCTCGTCACTACCGCGCACTCCTTGTCAGCGACCGCAGCGTCTAGACAGAATGGCTTTGGCTTCCCGCCACAAATGCCTCATCCCACGCAGTGCGAAGAGTACGTGTTCAATTGGGCCGGTGGAACCCCGCCTTTCAAGCTCAGTATCAATCGCAACGATTTCCTCGAGCTCGTCGAAGTTGTGGGTATCCCGGAACAAGAGTTGCCTTGGACGGTCAGCGCTCCCGCAGGGATGTCCATTTCTCTGCATCTGCTGGCCAGCTCCGGCGAGCATAGTACCGGAGGCCCGTTGACCATTTTACCGAGTAACAATGTCAGCTGCGTTCCGTCACAGTGGGTATCTGCAAACAATACCATGAGCGTGCCTACCACCTCGGCTACGGTTGCGGCCACATCTATACAGATCACATCTAGGACGAGCTTTGCTTCGAGTAACTATGCAATATCTAGAACATCGGTGCCAGCCTCGTTCCCGCTTCCGACGGCGTTTCCGATGCATGGACCGAGTTCCAGATCAGGCGCCTCGTCGCTACCTGGATCCAGCCACTCCTCGGCCATCTCAGCTTCTTTGTTCAGGCCGCCAGTCATCTTCCCCTCTTCACCCTCGCAACCATCATTAACCGCCGGCCGAAGTCGAGCAACCTGTCGTCTTCCGCAGGCACGGGCATTGGAGTGACAGCCTCGCTAGCCCCACCCACCCAAACACCGAGCACAGGTCATCGTGAGACCTGGAACACGAGGGCTGTTGCTGGCGTGTCTGCCGCGGTGGTTTCCCTAGTTATTCTTGCCACAGGAGTCGCGATCTGGTTCTGCATGCGACGTCGGCGGAGGGCCAGGATGGAAACGAACAACATAGTTATCTCAGGAGGTAAGGAAGTTCTTGGTGGTGCTCTCCACGGTTACGGAAGACTCACCAACATGTTCAATTCTAGGGACCCCTTCGACCTCTCGTGCTGATAGGCTAGAGATGACATCGTGGGATACTACGACTGGACGTCGTCTGAGGCCCGTCACATTGTCTTCTGGTCCATTTGCGGCCAACACCTCTCGCGAGCTGTTCCGCGTCGAGTCTTTGTCTCGCGGATCGGTGCTCCGCGGCCAATAAGCGCTGTGATGTCCCTCGCGAAATCTGCCATGGAACCTCTCCCGCTCATAGCGAAACTCTTCCGAGCTCTGTCGACGTCGCGATTGCAATAATCATGCGTAGTCGCATTCGACTTCCGGAGCGTCCCTATACCGCGATCCTTGTCTTCACCGCCGCACTCGACAGGACTGGTGTAGTGGTGCAGTCATGACTCAGCATCGGAGTCTGCCATGCCCGGACGCCATCTCCGAGAGCTGACCATCTCCGTGAGAGTACGTTCTTCGAGTATCGAGGAAGATGGTGCCGTGCAGCTTACTGGAGAGCCGCCAAGCGGAACTCACCAGACAGACAAGACGGCGTCTCTAACATACTTGCTCCGAGCCTTCTTGACAGGAAGTATGGATCTTCCACCTTCTGCCATCTTTCAACTGATAGATACGAGCTGAAGATTGAACTCGCCCTAGGTCAGCTGGCAGATGCCATCACGAAATATCATTGTTTTCCGACTGATAGATCGTCTGACAGGGACGCTATAGAAGAATGACAAACTAAGGGACGGGAAGAGTAGCAGATTCACTCATATCCTTTCGAGGTACCTGCATTTGTACGGTCCGTCATGTGCGAAGGATGAACCATTGCAGGTATTGTCTCTCATTACGGCAACGGTAAATATTCATCATATCCTCAATGACGATAGTCGCAGCTAGGTCACGTTGCATACTCTGAATCCCCACAGAAGGGAAATGCACAGAAGGCTGTCAGGACTTCTTGACTTGGTGTTTGCTCCGATGTTGGATAGTCTCGCTGGGTCGTGCGTCTCACGCATGACATAAACGTTACCGATTGTTCTCACGAGCGGAAAACCCTGGAACCCTGAGGCAGTGGTATACTTCCTGACCGTTCTACGAGATTGCCACAGTACCGTGACTACAGTCATCCTCGTATCCGGGTATGGGACGGTGTTGAGCTCCCGAAGACGATCACGTTAGAACGATATCTGCAGCTTCTTTGGCTGCCGAGAATTCTCATCGCTCCGTGGGCCTCATAAAGCTCATAACCTGCCTTTTACACCCTACCCGTTTTCCTTTACGTGTTGAGCATATCTCTCCACCCGAACGCCTCTCGGCCGCGCACTTCCAGCGAGCACGGATGGTGACATCTTCTCGCCTGATTCTCTAGGTCTCATCGTTAATTGTTCGACTCCGTAGTCTTTTGTAGCAGCAAGTCCCGGGGAACGGTCTGACGTTCAGAGCGCCGTCGAATCCGCGGTTTTGTGCCCTTTCTCTGGTGAGCTCGATCTCCGTCGTATCAGTTTCGCCGTTCATGTGTGTTCTGCTAGAGTCGTATGCAGAACGTCAAACAATTAGGACCATGGCACTACATAGGCCCTCACGATGGGGTGCCTACTACCCATACGTTCTGCACTCCTTTGTCAAGTCGTACCGCTCGCGTCGTCAACATAAGCGCATCCACGAGACTCTCATTATTCTCTTATCCCTGTCGCCTTTCTTGACTTCCGTACAAGGGCGTGGATTTCCCACATTCGAGGTCCATTCAATCCCTGATCTCACTCCATGCAGCCCATTCACCTTTTCTTGGACTGGTGGCACAGCCCCCTTCGCGCTTTTCATGATCGATGACGACACTGGGGATACAGTGGACGAATTCCAAAATATCGAATCAAGCTCCTTCACATGGACACCAGAGCTGGGCGAGAGTAGGAGGCTCTTGCTGTTTGCTCAAGTATTGGACGTCAATGACAACGACGACGAAACCGAAGACTTCGTAGTGCAGGCGGCATCCTGTACAACAAGTAGCAGTTCGGTCTCCTCCATCACACTTCAGAGCACCGCTGTGTCTTCCACCACCATAACGGTCACTGCGTCCGCTTCACCGCCTCCAGCAGGCATATCCTCACCAACTTCTGTGGCGGCCACATCACACCCCACCCAATCCTCATCCACACTTCAGACCCCCAGTTCACACGAGACGTCAGCGCCCTCCACCAGTCTCCTATCCTCGTCAAGCATCTTGTCTGCAAATAGCGGTTCGACTATCACTTCTACGACTACGGCTACTGTCGGGTCAGTTAATGGGTTCACCTCGTTTCCCGATAGCAAAGCCCCGTCCACGTCAATGTTACCCTCTCCATCAACTTC